ATTTTAGAGGTATACAGAAATATATCCATTTATTTCAATACCTCTCCGAAAAGAGAGCGTTTGCTGGAGCATGTTGCAGAAATCCGTTGTAAATCAACTAAAAGAAAAAAGATTTTGATAGGGATGTGCAAAACAAGATGGTCAGAAAGAGATGCCGCATATCAACACTTTTATTTAGCTATACCATATATGGCAGAGGCATTAGAGACTACTTTACTCTAATATAGTACAGTTCAATATAGAGTTTAGTATGGATTGAGACGCACAAAGAAAAAGAGAGGCCAACTCACTCCTTAATGCACTCACTAAGTTCAAATTCATAATTGGTATTATAACTTTGTACAGCTTACTTCACCCGTTGTCGTATATAACAAAGAGGTTACGAGGGCGCACAACTGATATTGTGTATGCATACAGTAACATTCAAGAAACAATCGACGATTTGAATCATCTACAGAAAAATGTTAAAAAAAAACTTACGCAATTTACCAACAAGTTACTTGTATGGCAAGTAAATTATTTGTAGAACCAACGATTCCCAGAATCACTATGAGACGGCCTACAGAAATAACGTACCTGCAGAGACTCCCCATGAATATTATAAACGGGCCTTGAATATACCTTTTCTCTACACCATCATTTCAGAAATCAAAATACGGTTCCAAAAGACAAATTGCATTGCTGCTAAGTTTTATGCTTGGTTCTCTCGATAATTTGCAGTGAGGAGATAACTGCTTTCCTAGAGTTAGTTGAAATGTATAAGAGTGATCTTCCAAACTCAGAAGCTGTAGATTAAGAATTCATGTTTTGGAAATAAAAAAATGGTCTGTTATTAAACCTGAAGGTAGGTCTAATACTCTAGCTAAAGCTATTAAAATCTGCAATGAAAATCAATATCCTAATCTTTTTGAGCTTCTAAAGATGGGATGTACACTACCCGTAACGTCCGCAGAATGTGAACGCAGTTTTTCAGCAATGCGAGGATTAGGAACATGGTTGAAAACCGGTATGACTGCAGATAGACTTGGTTCATTAGCCATCATGAATATCCACTACAACGACATTGTTGATTATAAACAAGTCTCAAAATTATTTTTTACTATACATCCTAGAAAATTGTATGAAAAAAGTTTTGTTTTTGAATAAAAATTTAAACCGTTTATCATAGTATTGTTAATCTTTGTATCAATACCGATTTTCTTACAAGGAGCTTGCTCATACGCATATGCAGTATAAAAATAGAAAAAATATTCGGAGAACAATAAATTCGTATGAATTTATAGTTCTCCGAAAAAAATGTAAACATAGTTTACACAAATATAGCTTTGTTTCACGAAAATTTTATTAAGTAAATTTAGTAAGATATTTGTTTGGTGTTTTAAAACTGCCTTTTTTTTTCAAAAACGACCCCTCCTCCAAAAAAATTTCACGGTACGGCCCTAAAGACATGCATCCCGAAGTAACATAAACCCTAAAAAAACGTCAAGTTTAGCAAAAAACGGGATAACAGGAAAAAAATAAAAGTTTCAAGCAGTTTCAAAAGATGAAAAAGTAATTAGTCAAGTTATCATAGCATTAAAATGTTATTGTTTTATTTTAAATTTTTAAAATATTTTTGTTATTCTGGGTGATTTTTTATAAATATTATGTATTTTTAGCAATTTTTTACTTTAATATAAAGATTTATTAGTTTTTTTCTTTTTTTAAATAAGCGAATCTTTACTAAAAAATATAACAGTACCTTTGGGTACACATGTTCAACATGCAATAAATTTAAAATAGAGTTATCAAAAAGTTACTCTCAACATGAACTACAAAGACTTTCAGTTAAACGAGAACTTTACTAGAGTAAAGGACAAGTAATTTATGAAAGAAAGACTGCTTCTATACATGGAGCACACTCATTAACCTGGTTTGCTGCAGTTACCTTTGATATTTGGAAGAATTTTCCTTGTCCTAATATTACAACCTATGACACATATTACAGAGGAAAACTTTCTATGTACACTTTTAACATACATAAACTTGGAACTAATAAGATTTCCCCCTATTCCTATAATGAGACAGTTGAGAAAAAAGTTTTTAATGATGTAGCATCAATTTTGTTGCACTATTTCACTATTGCCTTCAAAGGTCACTCATCTTTAACTCTTCTATGATTCATCTCATGGACAGAATAAAAATTGAATTATGTTGCGGTTTTTGCACGACATGGTTCACCAGAAAAACAGACTTTAAAATATTTTCTAATCAGAGGACATTCTTATATGGAGTGTGATTGAGATATGATTCTGTTAAATCAAAAGCTTCATACAGACTTATCAGCCAGCTGGCTGATAAGTCTGATCTATTTGAAAGCATTTTGAGAAAAAACCCTTCTCCTTTTCACGTAATTTCAGTAGAAAATACTGTTTTTAAATAAAGAAAAATACATTAAACCTTTTTTTGTTACCACTTCCCTAATTGAAACCCAGACACTTCGAAAAGTCCATTTAAAATACTTTTTAGAGAGAGCTAGAACGGGCAGTTCTCTGATGCCATTGTCACAAAATCAGTTAAAAAGAGGAAAATGTCATTCGAGCCCCTTCAGTCTTCAAAAGGTATAGACACTCTTTTTAGAGTGTCTATACCTCTTTCCTCATCAAAGTATAAAGACCTACAGCATCTCAAATATTTTTGCAAGCAAAACGCACAAGGATTTTACAACTATCTTTTATATCAAAGAGGGAATCAATCACCACGTACTTAAGACATTTAAAAACAATTTTTAGAGACCGGCTGCCTGCTGAGATAAAATAAGTTGTGGCTTGTGAAAAGAAACTACAACTAATTTGCAAAAGTTAACCTTAGTAAAGAAATATGTTTTGCAATTCAAAAACCGGGAACGTCAATTTTAGATATATGTTGCAAAATTCTATAGCAATTGCTATATTTATAATTCTATAATTATGATTATAATTCTATAGCAATTGCTATAAAATTCTATAGCAATAGCAAAATTCTATAGCAAATTCATTTGCAAAATTCTATAGCAAACTTTTTGCAAAAAATTGAATTTAGCTTATTTTCCCTTCCATTCTAAGGTCAATTTAAGAAAATAAATCTTGGCTGTTTCTTGTAAAATAAAAAGGTAGGGGAAGTCTTTGAAGATTAAATTTAATTTTTCTTAGTTTGCGAGAAACTGACATCCTTTGATCTTTTAAATAGACTTTAATTTATCTTTAGTATTGCATCTTCAAGACTTAGCAATGAAATAACATAGATCCAACGGCATTTAGCTGAAAACTATCAAAAATGAATGAAACTTTGTTTATTATATGTTATTTTTCATTCTCAATTTTTGATATGCTTTGCAAGTTTGGGGACAATCTAAGCAGCATGCTTTTTTTAAGGCTAACTTATCTCCAAAATAGAATTTATTTTATTTCTATCATACTAATTCGAACTCTGACAAATTTTAATTTTTGTCTAAAGTCCATATATTGTGTGACCTGTTTTAACTATCTAATTGTCTACATTTTGAACCAAAATCATATTTTATCATCCATAAAATGCATATAAAACTTTATGAATGATAAAAATCATATTTTATCATCCATAAAGTGGCCGATTTGGAACCCTTTCTAACCTTGTACAGATATTAAGGTGAGTTATCACTTATCCGTTTTTACACGGGAACGGGATAGGAAAGGAAAAAATAATAACATGAGCATGCGTAGTTTTCCTTCGGATATATTAAAACTTATACTACGCATGCCCACGTGAATATTTTTCCCGTTTCCGTGAAAAAACGGATGTGTGGAAACTCGCCTTTATGCTTACAAAAACCTCCTCCTTCTTTGCATACATCTTGTTCGCTTTTAGATAACTCTCTCCCCCCATATCTGAGTACGAACTTTTGGAGAGAAATACTATTTACAAATTTTATATCTTTCTACAACTTATTATTCAAAACCCTGTGAGCTAATATCTAATCTAATATTTTTCTCATAACTGTTGTTACAATATTTACTCACTTAACTGTTGTTTTATAATTCTGTTAACTTGATGTCTATTAACTCTTAACTATATGTGAATATCCTTTACTAAACTTAATAATTTTTTTTAACTATATGTGAATATCCTTCACAAAACTTTATAATTTTTTTTTAAACTAAAATAATTTTATTAGTTCTGTTCTCTTCATCATCATTATTACTTTTATCCTAATAATTATTCTTGCAGTTTCTATTATTGTTTTTGCTATATTATTATAGTATAATATATACTTTTTATAATTATTTTATTCATACTTGTATTATAATTATTATTATCAGTATTTTTATCAATGTCAGGTGTTTACTTATTATTTGTACTTATTGCTATTTGTAAATATTTCTGAAGTTACAACTTTGTATATTTAATTTGAACAATATTATCATATTTCCATGCTCTTAAAGTGCTCGAGCAATTTTATGCGTAAGCGGCAGTATTAGTTAACAAAACTTGTGCCACGGAAATAAGTTTAAGGAGGAAATAAATGTGTATGACACTGGATTTGTTATTGAGATATTTTTAAACATTTGATTGTTGATTACAGAGCTGTGAAGTCGGAGACGTAGAATCGGAGTTGCAACATTTTTAGCGGAGTCGGAGTCGCTAAACAAAATCGCGACTCCAATAGTAAAAATTCTCAGCATTGCCCGTGCATGTACAAAATATTAAACCTTCAAAGAATATTTCATATAATTAACAAAAAAATAAAAAATTTTAATTATCGCGTAATACTTTTTAAAGAATTAAAATAATTTTACAAAAATTTTGCCTCCGGAGTTTGAGTTATACTTTGAAAATTTCAACAATTGGAGTCGGAGTTGTTGTTTTTTTTTTACGACTCCACTCCCCTGGTTGATAATTTATCATAATTTTGTGCTGATTAAACTTTTTTAATATTTGTTAGCAAGAAATATATGAAGTAGTGTAAGAAATAATTGGGTAGAAGAATATCATTAAAAAAAAAATTGCAAAAGTAAAATTCATTATTTTACATTTATAAAGATAAAAGCCAGTTGACAATGTTGTCTTTTTCTCTATCCAGCCACTTGCAGTTGATTTGGATGTTTTCCAGACTCTGCTTAATGACACGTTCAGCAGATGCGACTTGATGTTCATCAAAAAAATGCTGAGAAAATTCAATACAAAAATGTTATAACATAAAACAAAAACATAACATTATCAATTATAATCAAACAAAAATAAAACAATATCGGGAGGACACGGAAAAACTTGGTCAACTTTAAATAAAAATTTTTCTAAATCTGGGGGGCTAAATCAGTTTTCTTCACATTGAAATATACATTGGAAGATGTTTATTTACTTCAAATAATCTGCATATTGCGTTTTATTTTTGTGATCTAAAAAATAAAAGCTCAATTAAAAAAAAAAATAAAAAAAAGTTATGCAATATGAAAACTATTAGAAGTAAACAACTTCAATGTATCTATCAACGTGAAGGAAATAAAAATTACTGTTACAAGCCCAATAATTTTGTTACACATTCTTGTGTATGTTTATCATTATCTTGTATATGTGTTAGTTATCAAAACAGTAATAAAAGATCTTAAAAAAAAAGTTTAATTAAATTTGATTATTTTTCGACAGTTCCTTACAGGAAGCTTAAAGAAATAATGAAACGCTAAGATCTGTTACTTTTAATGAAACGTAAATAACAGAAAGTAACAGTCTTTCAAAAATCTCATAGTTTTCATAAATAACATATTTTTTTAGATATAATTAATTCATTAAAAAATGTTGTTTATAATTATTATAAAAATTCATATTTATAAAACCTATAACTACCCTAATAAGTTGGTTTTTAAATTTAAAAAAAAAACATTTCAACAAAACAATAAAACATGAAAATTTCAACAAAACAAAAAAAACATGAAAAACAAATTCAAACTTCTTTTAAACAAATGAGAATACCTTTATATCTTTAAACTCTTCGTCAGTAGCAAAATTTTTTGTGGTGCACTAAAAAGTGTTTTTTTTAAAACATTACTAAAAAAATATACAAAAGTAATAATGCATAAAAATAATATAGTATATTACAGATACTAGGGTGTCTTAAAAAAAATCCATAAAATGTAACTATATTTTGCAGAACCTATGAAAGTGATTATCTTGTTTTACCAACTGCAAGGCCTCATAACAATAAGTACTAGGTGTAAACTTTAAATTTTAAAATAAATATTCAATTTTTTTATCAATTTTAAATTATTATTCAGCATTTTGTAATAGTAAAAATATCTTTTACAAATTGCTGGATCTTGTTTGAATTCTTTCATTATCAACTTTATTTGATGATTAAACATCATTATAATATTGTGACTATGTGATTATAATCTCTGACTCGGAGTTAAAGCATCAGTAAATATATTGTTTTTACATGTCATTTTTTTAGATATAAATAAACACATGTAAAAATGCAAAATTGAAGTGAAAACCTTCAGATTTCGAGGGCTGGTTCACTGATAAAATGTTGAAAGCTGTAGTGCCAGCTAAAACAACAACAAAAATTTTTTTAAACATTCCAGTGCACTTTTTTTTTCTTTTTTTTCCATTCGTGGCAAAGATCGTAACAAAATATCATTACTATTATCTCAGAAACAATAAAGAGTAATTCTATGTAAAAGTGGGACAGTCATTTCAGTCACCCCCTTGGATGTTCTTTAAATTTTAATCAGTGGTACATATTAATGAAACATGAAAAAATGTAAAATTTGAGCTCCCAAACCGAACGGTTCAAAAATTATGACGTTTTGAAACTCAACCTAAAATGTTCCTCTTTTTACCAAACCTGCCATTATGGATTTTGTAGTAGTACTTTTTAATGAATAATTTAAGATCTAGTTGAAGAATGTGGCTAAAAATTGGTACCTGGCCATTAGAGAGGGTGCTGAATTCAAAAATCTAGAGAAAATAATGAAATTAAAACTTTTTGATGGTTATTTTTTATTGTAAAATGGTCAGTCAAAAGTCAAATTTTTTGTTTCGTAACCATGGTTTACATTTCACATATTTCTGGAGTTGCCTTACTCTAAATCTGAAATAAGAGATCTTAGAAAAGTTTAGGTCTCTGAAAGAAAGTAAAAAAAATTATATTGCTTTGCATAACTTGCATATTTATAATCAATATTTTCAAAAGTATACAGGGAAACATAATTTGATGAAAATTATATATCCCTGTATACTTTTGAAAATATGCATTAAAATGCAATACATCACATTGAAAATATAATTTCATTATTTATTAATTATAATAATTTAACTTAACATTATTTCTTAATGTCTAATAATTAAGTATTGTTCAAAACAATATTTGTTTGGTTACATGCTCAAATTTTAGGTTGCATGCTAAAATGTTGTGTTAAAAAATGAGAAACTAAAACTCCTTTTTTTTTTGAAAAGTAGTAAAAAACCTGCTTTGTTAAAAAAAGCTCAATTTTTATTTTTATTTTATCAAAAATAAAAATAAAAAGGAATAATCCAATATTAAAGTTGATATCATTTAAATAATGAAATTAAAATATTAATAAACTTTCACTGACACTGAAAGTAAAATATTAATTAACTTTCACTGACACTGAAAGTAAAATATTAATAAACTTTCACTGACACTGAAAGTAAAATATTAATAAACTTCAACTGACACTGAAAATAAAATATTAATAAACTTCAACTGACACTGAAAGTAAAATATTAATAAACTTTCACTGACACTGAAAGTAAAATATTAATAAACTTTCACTGACACTGAAAGTAAAATATTAATAAACTTCAACTGACACTGAAAGTAAAATATTAATAAACTTCAACTGACACTGAAAGTAAAATATTAATAAACTTCAACTGACACTGAAAGTAAAATATTAATAAACTTTTACTGACACTGAAAGTAAAATATTGATAAACTTTTACTGACAAGATAAAAGCTGTTCAAATAGAGTTTCATTTTCTTTTGAGATGTGGTACTGACGCCCAGAAGATGTTGACAGTGTTTTAACAAGAGAAATAACATTCATTCTTTGCACCCAGCCATTATAACCTTGCTTTGGCCAGTAGTACAACCGACTTGAACAATGTGGATGCATAAACTTTACCATAAAATTCTAAAAATACCATTCTTTATCAACTTTAGCAACCATACCAAGCCAGTAAAATTTGTCGTATTTGCAAAATAGGTATAGCTCTCCTTTAAGTTACACAAAATCAATTTTTTTGACATTTTTTTTTTCTCTTAACACTCAATTATTTATTCTTGGCATTTGCCTTGAATACTCATTGTCACAGTAAAAAAGCTTTACAAGTTCTAAACATCTTTGCTGATTTGATACCATTCAACCACATCAGGGTGATTTGGTTGAATGGCACGTGATGCCTTTTAGATCGCATATAAACTTTGCAGTTTATATGTGATCGAAAAGGCATTAAGAGCAGTTGCAAGTTTCTTAACAACTGCTTCTTCAACTTGCTTTATCTTTCTCTTTCCAAGTGAAGACTTATTAGAGGTTTTGGGTAAATGAACTTTTAGAGGAGACACTTAAAGTTCACACAAAGTACTGTTGAGCAATGATCTTGCTGATTCTAGTAAAATTTATTTTTCCATATTATCTTCAGGTAATTTTATCTCCAACTCATTTTTTTCTGATTCAACACTTGATGTTAATTTATGTCTGCATCGTGGACAAAGCTTTTCACCTGGTACTACAAATTAGTCTTTACTGCATAGGTACTTTGCTGTATCCAAGTTAATTTCAAGAATACTGCCTAAAAAAAAAGAAGAACTCTTTTAGTATGTTTAAAAATGTTAATAAAACCATTTAAAGTTGTATGGCATTTAATACTTTCAGCTTAAAGTAAGGTTAATATAGCTAAAATAGAATTTAGCCGAGAATTTTATTATTGTAACTCACAACACGTTCACAAAACTCAAAGTTGTGATTGCCTTTTATAACATTCTTATAAGTATTAAATCGATTGCAGTACCATTTTAATTAAGTTGCATAACGCTTCCAATAAACATGTTTATGATGGAGACAAGTTGTTGATTTAACATTGATAGCCCAGTCCTCCACATTAAAATTTCTCTTTCATATTCAGGGATATCTTCAAAAGTATCCATTCCAAGCAGCAATGTATATGTTGCCAGATGACATTCACTTTCTAGCATGATTCCTGTTGGCTGTTTGCCATTACTGAGAAACTGAATTTCCAAATAAGAATTAATAATTATTTAATCTAAAATAAAAATAGTTTTATAATATACAATTGGTGTTTTAAAACTATATTTATATAACATAACTGGCGTTACAAAACTATATTTATATAACAGATGTCGCAAAACTATATTTTTACATGACATATCACTTCACAAAACTTTATTTATGTATCAAAACCAACCTCAAAACTGTTTTTTATGGTTGGTTTGTTCTTGACTTTTATGGATTCAGTTATGATGTTTCACAACTGAATCCATAAGAGTCAGAAAACTCCAGGAATTAGAGAAAAGGTTACCCCATTTTATGGTAAAGTAATTTTTGACCATTTTGAAATAAAAAACAGTTATCAAACATTTTGAATTAGGTTATTTCCTTTTCTACTTTGATTTCAGCATCTTCAAAAATGATCAGGTACCAATTTTCAGTCAGTTTCTTCCACGAATACATTTTAGGAGCACAAACTTTACATTTTTTTATTTTACATTGATAGGTACCACTGGTTAAAATTTGAAAGAAATCTGAGAGGGTGACTGAAAAATTTAAATTTTTTGTCCCACATTTACATAGAATTACCCTAAATGCAATTTTCATCTTTTTAACATCATTTTCATGCCCCATGTTCTTACACAATTTGTTGATAAAATAAACATTTGTCTTATTGACTTAAATTTTTATAGAACTAGAATAATAGCTTTCTTTGTTCTTCTATAATATTAAGATGATAAATACAACTCTAAATTTTTAGCAAAAATTTTTATTATTTAATAAATGGTGAGAAATTGTTTCATCAACATTTTCTCAACTTTCTAGAAAATTCAGGAAGAAAATGAAGGTGAATCTGAAAACATAAAAAACATTAATTATAAAAAAAGACATTTAAAAAAATGTTGCTTTAAGCAACATTTAAATGGTTATATTCTATTAGTTATAAGCATTTTTTTTGAAAATTACTTACACTAACAAGCCTTGATAAAATAAAACCACCATCATATCTTCGTGTAAACTCACTCCAGTTCTTCTTTGTAAATTCCCAAGTTAATTTACGACCAATTAAACTACAAAAACAAAATATTTTTAATATTATTACAATAAAAACAATATAAATGAAAAGAACAAAATATTTTTAATATTATTAAAATATATATATATATATATATATATATATATATATATATATATATATATATATATATATATATATATATATATATATATATATATATATATATATATATATATATATATATATATATATATATATATATATATATATATATAAATGAAAATAAGTGAAAATAAAAATAAGATATTGTCTTTTTAAATCCCCTTGAAATATAAATTAAAAAAACTCATAAACATTTTAAAAAATCAATTTAAACAGTATTTAAGTAAAATATGTACATAAATTAAATAAACTCTTTCAAAGGATATGGATTAGCTATATTCTTCTATTTTTACAACCCTTTGGTAAAATTTATTTTACCTAGTTAATTAGTCAGTATATATATATATATATATATATATATATATATATATATATATATATATATATATATATATATATATATATATATATATACATGTAAAAAGACTACAGGGGAAAAAAGGCACATGTCACACATTTCCACTTGGGAGATAAATTAAATTTTGTCTTTGAAAGTCATTATGTTTTCCCCTGTATGCCTTTTCATTGGGTGTTTCTGTAGCATTACATAGGCTATTTTTGGGTTGGATTTTACTATTTTGCTAACCTTCAGGCTTATGTTTATATAGTAGGGAACTTAACTCAAATAATTGGAAAATGTGATATGTACCATTTTTCTCCTGTGGTCTTTATTTGTATGAATGTGTTTATATATATATATATATATATATATATATATATATATATATATATATATATATATATATATATATATATATATATATATATATATATATATTTATATACATATATATATATATATTAGAATGTTGACTTTATTTTTTTTTTTAATTTAATTTTAATTTTAATTCACTTCCTCAAGGCCAAGAAGGCCATTACAGATGAGGAGGCTACTTATTTGAGGTTATAACCTTCTCTCAACTCTATAACTCCGAAACACGAACCCTGACGAAAAGGGACGCTGCGCGGAGAAACGAGTTGAGCGCGGTACTACCAGGGACATGGTGGGGATCGAACTTGGAACCACTCATTTATGAAGCGAGCGCTCCACCACTACACCACTACCGCATTATTACAACACATAAATTACTTTCTAATGAACATTTATCCATAATAACTTAAAATCATATTCATTTGCATTTTATTTTTAAAAATAAACCAAAATAAATCAAAAATAATAGTAATCTAAATATTAAATATTAAAATAATGTTTTAACATTTAATATTTAACAAACAATAGTAAATAATAAAACAATGTTTTATTAGCAGTTAATAACTAATTTTCTTATTTTTTACATCAAAATATTAGACAATATAAATTTTAATTTAAGTTTCTCAGAGTTAATATGTTGAGTTAACATATATTGATGCACTGGAAGTTTAAAATTATTACTGGTTCTTTAGTCCAATGTATCTTCAGACAAGTAAGAGCTTTCTGGCAATTATCAACTTTCTTGATATCTCCTTTAAAAGACCACCAAAAAAAAAAAAAAAATTGTTCTTTTGTTTCTTCTTATATAATGTATTAGGAAAATAAATTTCAGAAAAATATCCATTTTCTTTATAGAAAAGATATGCTTTGCATAGAATCTAGAGAAATTTATATTATCTCTCCATTCTAAAATTTTGTAGTTTAAAAAAGAACCACTGTTGTCAAATGCCACCATATGATTTTAATAATTTTTAATAATGAATTTAATAAAAGAGTACTGTCATTCAGGTGATTTTTCAGGACATACAGAATCAAAGATCAACTTCAAAACTCCGGAACAATTTTTTTGTAGTCTAGTGATCTTTTTTTTTCTCTCCATAAACATAATAATACCAAGAAAGAAACTAAAAAAAGTCAATAATTTCCACTAACCCATTAAAAAGAGTTACTACTCTACCATCTTTTAAGGCAAAAACAGCAATTTTTTTTTTTTGTAATACTTTTCAGAACCACTACTAGGTGTTCATAATGGTCAAAATATTTTCCATCAACATTAAAAAAATTTCATTCTTCAAATTTTTTCTTATATCTATAAGATTTTTGCTTCTCTCATATTTGCTTTGTATATAAAATCAATGATTAGGTAAGTGATAAGGTGTATCTATATCCAATCCAACATCTTTAACAAATAAACTTTGCACTGCAGCAATGTTTTTTTGATGATAACTTCACAGCTGTTGATAATTTCAAAACTGGAGAAAGTTTTAGAACATCTTCTCTTTATGAAGTTAGTTTAAGGTATTGGTGTGTTGAAACATTCATTACTGCTATTCTTAATTACCATAGTATTTCTTCGTGTTTCTATTAGCATATTTTAGAATTTTTTGTCTTCAATTTTTTTTTTTGTTAATTCACCTCCTCAAGGCAGAGGAGGCCACTACAGACAAGGAAGCTACTTATTTGTGCTTATAACCCTCTCTCAACTCTATAACTCCGAAACACGAACCTTGACAAACAAGGGCGCTGCACGGAGAAACGAGTTGTGAGCAACATACCCTTCAAATCAGTAATATCAAACATTTGAGAAAAAGAAGTGTTAACCAAGGAGGTTTAATTAACAGGAGACGTCGTAGTATATACTTTATATAAAACACGGTGAAGCTAGTTTTGAAAGTCAGCCACCATCTTGGTTAACCCAAAACATTGTTATGTTTTGCTCAAAATATTATATTTTTAGTAGAAAACTTTGCTGAAATCAAGTCAAAATATTGATATTCATGATTGAATAATTTGCCAGTTGTTTCCGAGGTTGTGATATACTACAAAGAATTGTTTGCTAACTGATTATCGGGTTAAGTTTATTCCAAAACATTGAAATACTGATTAGACATTCAGATAGTAAACACGCTTTTAGAAGACGCCATATTTTACACAGTGTGAACATCTTATGGAATAACAAATAATGTTTGTGAGTTTTTATTAAATGTTATCAAAATTAGATGTAAACATAAATAAAAACAAATATATTAAAGATATATATTTATCTTTTAATCTCTTAATTGTTATGTGTGTGAGTATATATATATATATATATATATATATATATATATATATATATATATATATATATATATATATATATATATATATATATATATATATATATATATATATATATATATATATATATATATGTATCATTTAATATAATTATAATAACTCTAAACCTACTGAAAGTTATAATGAAACTAAAATAAACAAACAGTTATATGGAGATGCACATAGTTAAGTTGAATTTAATCTTTTTTGTGACACAAAAAGATTAACTTCAGCTTAACTAAATGCATCTCCATATAACTGTTTGTTTATTTTAGTCTCATTATAACTTTCAAAAGTTTCATAATGACAGTTTCGTTATAACTTTTGACAGTTGCACAAATCATCCAACTGTTGACTCAGTATGAAATAAAAGTTTTATGTGATTTTGGCTAAATTAGAGTAAGATAAATATAAATATAAAATCAAAAGTAAATAATAATACCAGAAAGAAACTAAGTATGCTATTACTATGGTGCTTCAAAAATGCCTAATAAGACACCATACTGAACTCTGAGGGCCCATTTCGATCGATATAAGCTTCTGTACACAAAGCTGATTTAGTATGCCTTTTTCTTTGAACACAACTGCTGATTTATGAGGACCAGTAAAGTTTCTCTGCATAGAGCAGTTATCAACTTTTGTCAAATCTTGATATTTTTGTGACGGAATTCTATAAAAATGTTAACTAATAAAACAAAAAAATCACCATAGTAATACCATATATGCTATTACTCTGGTGATTTTGTTACTTCATTAGTCATTATTTTATAGAATATATCTTAATGATATCATTGCTTTGTTAAATTTCTTGCTTGATGCAGCTTAACATACCTATGAAAAGTAATGCTATCAGCACAACTTCTTGTGCCCATAAGCAAAACAAGTCATGTCAAATTATATCTTTTTATCAACTTTATAGCCTTCACTACAAATCATGTAAAGCTAAAAAAAAAAATACTATTTAATAAATATGTGTTTAGTTGCTCTGTTCTTTTAAGAACCCTCTATTTTGTAGAATACATTTAAAGTTACTCAAATGTAACACACACACACACACACACACACACTCACACACACACACACACACACACACACACACACACACACACACTGTATATATATATACAGTGTTTCAGTAAAATTTAGAACCGCTCACATTTTTTTTCAATACTTGACAGAAAAACTTGAATAGAAATTAAACGGATTAAGATTTTTCAATTATTTTTTTTTATTTTAGTAAACAAGATATGTTTTATAATTTAAGTAAAAAAAAATATTAAAAAAAAAAAAAAAGAAAGAAAACATTTAGACATAAAAAATAAGGGTAGCAAAAAAAAATCAGTTAATTATAGCACATTTCAAAAAAAATCAAATTTCAATATTTAAAATGACCACCGCGGGCTTTTATACATGAAAGAACTCTCCTAGGCATAGACTCAATCAATTTCATGCAGAACTCTTGGAATACTCTTCCATGTCTCTTCTATTGCTTGCTTTAAGTGCTCAACCGACGTCAGCTTGGTTCCCATTAATTGGCGGTCCATCCAACCCCAAAGATTCTTGATCAGATTCAAATCAGACGATCAGGCGGGCCAGGGCATCCTTGAATCTTCTTCTCTGAAAACCAGGTTTTTATCGACTTGGCAGTGTGTGCAGGAGCCCCATCTTGCTGAAAAATCCATTTGCCTCTTCCGAAAATATTCACGGGCTGATGCAATTAAACGCTGCTCCAGAGTTGTTTTGTAGTTATATTGATTGATCCGACTGGTGTACGTATTGCATAGACCAATACGTATTGCAGAGACCTATATGAGAGATGCAACCCCAGACTCCTGCTGACCCTCCTCCGCCTTGTATTC